CATTGTATAGCAAGTAAATAACTAGTGTATTATCAATATTTTGTGCAACATCAAGTAGGACTCTGTTAAGTAAGGAAGTTATAGAATGCCGCACGCTTGTGAATGTTATGGAATCATTGGATCGTAACACACTTGAGTTTTTCTTATTTCATTCATTTATAACATTTGTTCTTCTATTAAAACACGACTTTATTATAAAAATTACGTTCAACATTGTGATGTCAATTTGTGATTGCCAATGAATAGTCCAATGGAATGCCACACATTTTGCAATGTGGAGGTTTTATTGGACCTTGAAATACTCCAGGTTTTAGCATTTCATTATTTTTAATCCAGTGTAAAGTAAGTAAATAAATAGTGTATTATCAATATTATGTGCAACATTAAGTAGGACTCTGTTAAGTAAGGAAGTTATAGAATGCCGCATGATTGTGAACGTTACAAAATCATTGTATTGTAACACACTTTGAGTTTTTCTTATTTCATTCATTTTTAACATTTGTTCTTCTTTTAAAACACAACTTACTTATAAAAGTTATGTTCAACATTGTGATGACAATTTGTGATTGCCAATGAATAGTCCAATGGAATGCCACACGTTTTGCAATGTGGAGGTTTTATTGGACCTTCAAATACTCCAGGTTTTAGCATTTCAATAACTTTAATGCATTTTACAGTAAGTAAATAAATAGTTTATTATCAATATTATGTGCATATTGCATATTCATATTACATTGCAGAATATATATTTTAGAATAGGATGAATAAGAGAAGTGAGGATAATATGCTGTAATATGCAATAACATGCAATACATTTAATATAAAATATATAGTATGATGATATAGCAAGACAAGGCAAGCCCATCCACCATGATGGGAAAGCTGCATTTTTCCACACATTCTTCCAAGGTTTGGTCAAAGGATTTGCGTTCTTGGTGGTTATTGGTTAAGTATAATTAGTAATGGTGGAATAATGTGAAGGAATGCTTCACGATAAATAATGTGAAGGAATGCTTCATGTTGAATAATGTTAAGAATTCAATGGGAATGCTTCCCATTTTAAAATATAGGGTCTGTGTCAAAAGTTTCTTGGTTTCAAGTACATGGATCATATAATTGGCTGCTTATAAGTGACATTCAATACGTTTATTTGTTTATTACAATGGAGAATCTGAAGAAAATTAAATCCAATGGGTAAATCCAATGGGTAGGCCAATGGGTAAATGGTACTCCATTTTTCAAAAAAAAAAGAGCAATTATGAAGACAGTGATTCTCAGGTACACCTCTTCTCTTGAAACCTTTCTTTCTGTTATTGCCCGGTTATGAGCTTTCTCTCTGCCTGTCCTCTTATTTCAAAACAGAAGAATGTTCTAGAATTTTTGAATCCCTGAGCCAGTTAATGACTGCACAGAATCCATTAATATTCAATGACAATCAACAGTTCCTTTCTGGTTCCTTTGTTCTCCTCTCCACATTTACCAGTATACTCCTACTCCAGGAGGCATTAGTACAGGGACTTTTCACTTTTTCTGTAGACTCCTGGGTAGGGAAACTCTGTGGGTTGTCCAGGAGAATTTGCGCCACAAGATATTTCGATGGTTGTGTGATTTTTCTGAGGAAAGAGTTGAGCATATTTTTGAGTTGTGGTTTTCATCAGTTTGGCTATTTTGGGGAAATTTTGGAAAAACATTTTTGAGTGACTAATTTTGCCTGTCTTAGCACTTTTATCTGATATTTGAGTGTCAAGCAAAAGTTTTCTGCGAAATACAAATTACCTTAAAATTCAGCCCTTTGTGATTGAGGGTAGGCTGGGCAAGTGGCTGGTTGAAGAGTTTTCTTACCATTTTGTTTTTCTGTTCTTCACTTCATCTGGGAATTTTGATGTCAAATTTCCCTGACAGCAACCATCAGAGTTAAATTTGATTTCATGTGACTGAGTGAGGAATTTTGGGTGCGAAGCTTGGGTCATTGGCTTTATTTTGGCTGATAATATGATGAAAGTGTGTCCTTAGTTATCTTGCCCCACTAATACTTTATCTGCAGCATATCTTGAACTAGTTTGAGGTAATCGGTGATTTCCTCTTGTCCCTAACAGATATACACATAGCAAAACTGCTGAATCATCAGTCGCAACTGACAGCTTGCTTCTGGTGCTTTCCCAAACGCCAGAAGGAATAAAAATTTCAGAAGCCTTTGGTGCGCCTGTTCAGTTCAACTTTCAAGATTGAAGATCATGAATAAACCAGAAAGTTGGGTGGGAGTGCTTCTCGTTTTCATGTTGGCCCTTTTTCCGAAACCTTCTTCCCAATTACTGGTGTCTCAGGAGGAATTGCTTCAGCTATGTGAAGATCTGGTTGCTGCGGACGTGAATAGTCTAGGGCCATCTGTGGTGGCTTTTGATCTGCAAGAAAATGCTTCCAACCAAACTGACTTGGCTTCCGGACCGTAAGTCTTCTCAGCTGCTTACCCATGACTTGCCTCCCACCATTTTAAAATTTTAAAATTTGCTGATTTCCTCTAATTGTGATTTCGAATCAGTTTGTACTTGGAAGCTGTTCCAGCGTCATTTCTGGCACTGCCAACCATTGCTGCGCTCGTAAAATTGTTCGACAATTACGACCATTACGTTGGGGCACCGGAAAACTCCACTGCTGAGGAATTGCAAGAAGTTGAGGATTTCCTGGATGTCATGCTGTCCACTCAGGTTTTCAACGTGCTAACCAACTTCCTGCTCCAAAAAGGTACAGTAAGTGCCAATATTGGAGTTAATGGCCAGTTCTCAAACACAAATGGAACATCATGTACCGCCATCAGCCATGGCATCTGTTTTTTTTTTTTTTTTTTTTTTTATAATTCAGATAGAGCCATAACGTGTCATTGCCTAAATGTATGTATGGGTAAGCACATTCTCACCCAGCAAATAATCACCTGTTTTCCAGCCAGGCGTCAAGCCCCTGGCAAAAATCACTGGTCAAAGACCCGTTTTTCATGGGTCCCTGGATATGGGTGGTATTTTGGAAAACGGGTGATTTTTCCTCAGCGGTTTTCCTGCCAGGCGTATGGACGCAGGCGCAAAACACCTGTGAAACACTGAAACACCCCTATTTCACCAATGGTTGAAAACCGGTGATTTTCAGAATTTTTTTGAATTCCTGATTTTGATTGTGTGAGGGCATTTAAGAAGTACATGTTCAAGCACCGGTGAAACACCTGTCATGAATGGCTTTTGGAAATGGATGTTGCTAGAGTAAAATGTAGGTGAGATATCCTTGGGGGGGGGGGGGGGGGTTTTTTTTCTCAGCTTTTTCCCCGGAAATCAGGTGGGGGGGGGGGGGGGGGGGGGGGGGATTTTATTTCTCAGCTATTTCCACGGAAATCCATGCGCTCTTCATGGTCTTTCATAAGTTAATGGCATGTTGTTTCATAAGTTTTTGGTGCAAGGTTTATTTAAAAAGAGCGCGACTATTAAATTTGTTTGCGCCATGTAAAATGTTTAGCACGTAAATTGTTGAATAGATGCGCCGCCTAATTTTTTAAATGGAGATGCACCTGTTGATGGTCAATATATGGAGGATATGCTGCTATACGTGCTGCATATATAAACGAGTACAAATATAAATCAAAAATAATAATTGCAACAAAATTTCTGTAAAATTTGTATATATACATGGTATAAAAAATAATAATTGCAACTAAATGTACTGTATATGATTTTTTTTGATGTAAGTATATATCTCATTGTGATGTTTTAATAGTATGCAAATAGTATATGTAGTACATAATGTAATAGTATGTAAATATGCATATATATATGTATATATATATATATGTATGTACATATATATGTATAACTGGTGTAGTGGGTGTATCAAGAAAAATGTAATATGTACTTCTACACCTTTTTCATAATTTCTTGCTACAATTTGTGAACGGAAAGTCAATTAATTAAAGGAGTCAATAGAGAAAATAGAAATAAAGAAAAAGTATTAGTACTTATAAGCTTGGTTTATGAGTTGAATCTTCGTCATGTCATATCTGATTCAAAGGTGCCAGTTGTTGCATCTGTGACGAAAATTGGTTTTGCTCCTAACTACAAGAGTGACATCTACACTGATTCTTGTAAATGAGTAACACACTACTACTTTGAAATACTGCAGAGTGTGTTGATCATTTCAACAGCGTGCCCTGCTGAAAGAAAGTAAGTAACGCACCCTGCTTATGTGTACAGAATAGCATGCTCTTAACATTTAAGTTGGCGCGCACTCTGCTGTAAAGAAGTAGCGTTTATGAATTCAACAGCGCGCCCTGCTGAAAATACAAAAGTAACGTACCCTGCTTATGTGTACAGAATAGCGTGCTTGATTAACATTTAAGTTGGCGCGCACTCTGCTGTAAAGAAGTAGCGTTTATGAATTCAGCGGTCCGCCCTGCTGAAAAGAAGTAAGTAACGCGCCCTGCTTTTGTGTACACAATAGCGTGCTCTTAACATTTTAGTTGGCCCTCACCCTGCTGTAAAGAAGTGCATAGTAGTGCACTACTACTTTAAAATACAGCAGAGTGCGCTTATAATTTCAGCGGCGCGCCTGCAGCAGCCCTCTGTTTTAAAATATACAGTAAAATATACATATACAGAACAGCGTGCGCTTATCACTTGGGTTAACTTGCCTGGCTTTAACTAAGTTGCGCAAGTCAATGGATATTGCCTTTCATCAGATGAATTAATAACAAATTCTAGTGCCGTAACACGAGAAATGTTTTGACATTCTCTGCATGTAAAAGACTGTTTTATTACAGTGTATTTGGATTTGGAACGTTTCTGGAATGACCTATTTAAACTGTAGGCTGGTTATATGATACTTAGAAGAGGTTTGGCAATTTATCAGGCTGTATTGAGCGGTTTGTTTGGGTTGTTCTCAAAAGAGCAGTTTAAAAACAGAGGAAGTGTTCTCCAAGAAGTGATGAGGAAGTGTTTTATGTCTTCTAGAATTGCGCGCACCTGCGCTGGAGGCTGGGAAACTGAAAAGGAAAACATTCCCAGTTCTCCAAACCTTGCCCTTTTCGGAATTACTCATGATGCCCATGTGCGGACCAGGATGGAAAAGTGTGACAGCAAACAACAGTGTTGTTTTAAAGTTCGAAGGTGTGGTGCTGTGTCCGTTTTTTTCCACAAATTTCTTGTGGAGTATAGACGTTTTAAGGAATTAATTTCCGTAATCAGAAATTTGGGGTTGTTTGAATACTTCTGCAATAGATTTTTATTTTCCATAAATTAAGACTAACAATTAATCAATAAGGGAGAGAATCTACACCAAAACATTATACATACAAAATCACAAAGAGTTCCAAACTTTGAAAAAAAATTATGAAGGTACGTGAATTTATTGACAACTGTTTGATTTCTTTAAAATTAACGATTCATTTTGTGATGTACAGTGGATGCTGGCTATCATGGTGATCATCCAATCTATGCTCATCATTACCGCTCCGGGAGAGTCTCTTTTTCCAGCATCGTATGATACTGCTGGTATGCCTATTAAACAATCATAAATTACTTTTTGATTTGTTCGTTACTATACGTTTTTTTATTTGAATCTTGAAATTAATAGCAGGAGCAACTGGAGTGAGCATTACAAATAAAGTTGCTCACATAGAAGCTACTAACGTTGATGAGTGGACGGCATTCATGATTTATGTAATGGTAATGGCTGGTGGTGGGACTGGTGTCGCAACAGTAGCAGTTTTTGTGGTTTGGATAGCTCGCCACGTATACAAAAGGGTTAGCATTTTTTATTTCTGTCAAAAATATTTACTCTTTAAATTCTTTATATATCTTTCTTCTTGTACTTGTTGATTAGTTAATTGCCCATTTACTGATGCTAGTCTTGGTTTTTCTTTTGCATAAACGCAGTGGTCAGCAATTTTGGCAGCGGCCGATTGTTTGGAGGAAAGGCAAGTCAGATGGACACGGGGAAGAGGAGGAACAGAAAACGTGGATCTTGTGGATATTGAGGGTCTTTAAGTGTTGATGCTGCTTTTGTATGGTTTTGACTTTGTTCACTTTGGTAATAAGTGCGAATTTGTACATCGGGTCAATAATTGCGGCGGGTTTGATTTGATATATGAATTATTCTAATGTAAATGAATGATTTTGGACTTTCATAACCGCCGTAACTTTTGGGTTATTTTTTACAACAAGTACAGCAATTTTTGGATTTTCATCATCAGTTAATTGTTCATTTAATTTGCGCTTTAAATTCTGCATGTTATGTACTACATTAGTGAATATTGTTTTATTTTTACGTCATAGTCAATTATAAATACAGAGTATAATTACATCATTCTAAAACATATGAGACTGAGAATGTACGCAAAGCTCAGCGGCGCGCTACTCCTTTTCAACAGCTTGCGGTACAGCTTCTTTTCAGCAGGGCGCTCGCCAAGTGAAATGTTAAGCGCACGCTGTTCTGTATATGTTACAGCACAGTGCGGTACTTACCTCTTTTCAGGAGTGCACGCCGCTGAAATATTAAGCGCAAGCTTCATTTTTAAGCATAGTGCATTGGAAACTCCCTGAACAGCTCAGATTGAGCGCCATTCTTCTTGTGCTGACGCGCTGCAAAAGCCGCGTTGTTCTCATGCAGCAGTTTAACGCGCGTCGCTGAAATGATAAGCGCACGCTTAATTTTTAAGCAGAGTGTGGTACTTACTTTTTTTAACCAGGGCGCGCCACTGAAAAGATCAGCGCACGCTTCATTTTTAAACTTTTTTTTCAGGAGGGTGTTGAACATAGTAAATACAAGAATAAGAAGTAATTACATTATTGCTTGTTATTGAAAATTAGATGTATAAATGTCTATACGTTATGACGTATTAAAGTTAAATATATGCAGTATAATGAATGCGTGTACACATGATGCTGTATTTGCTTAATCAAATTTACAAATTTATACCAAATAATATTAATTCTTTATGTCTACTTTGATATTGTAATAAATTCATTACCTCTAATAAATATTGAAAAGAAAATTGTAATAAATAATGTAGATGACTTATGAAATATTCAAAATAATTTGCTGTATATACGTAAAAAATGAACTGCGTATATACATACAGTACAAATTGTGCATGTATAAAATCAGGATCATGAAAATTTCAGTGAGTGTGAATAACAGCCATAGTATGCATACATATGTACTATTATGTGCTGTACAGCATATATCATATTAAACTAGTATATATATGAATAATACATTTTAGAGAAATGATAAGCGCACGCTTAATTTTTAAGCAGAGTGTGGTACTTACTTCTTTTAACCAGGGCGCGCCGCTGAAAAGATAAGCGCACGCTTCATTTTTAAACTTTATTTTTCAGGAGGGTGTTGAACATAGTAAATACGAGAATAAGAAGTAATTACATTATTGCTTGTTCTTGAAAATTAGATATATAAATGTCTATACGTTATGACGTATTAAAGTTAAATATATGCGGTATAATGAATGCGTGTACATATGATGCTGTATTTGCTTAATCATATTTACAAATTCATACCGAATAATATTAATTTTTTATGTCTACTTTTAAATTGTGATAAATTAATTACCTCTAATAAATATTGAAAAGAAAATTGTAATAAATATTGTAGATGATTTATGAAATATTCAAAATAATTTGCTGTATACATAAAAAGTGAACTGCGTATATACATACAGTACAAATTGTGCATGTTTAAAATCAGGATCATGAAAATTTCAGTGAGTGTGAATAACAGCCATAGTATGCATACATATGTACTATTATGTGCTGTACAGCATATATCATATTAAACTAGTATATATATGAATAATACATTTTAGTTATATTAACAAGTAT